CGTCAATTCTTCGTCTCTATGAAAAAGGACTCGATGGCCAGCTTTTAGTTACACGGTACATAGAAACGCAGAACAAAGTGGTTATAGAATGAGAAAGTAGCATATGCTGTCCCAAAAATCTTTTCCGTTATTGGCATGATCTCAAAACCCATTGTAATAATGAGTCAAGCACCCAAACATGTGTTCGACTCACTTTTTCTTCTTTTAATGTTTATTTCCAAAACAAAACCTTTCGAATGCTCCCAGACATGTGCCAACCAGGGTCAAGCGTGTTGATGCGATCCAGGACCCCAAATTGCGACCCCCCCCCCCTTGAAGGAACCCATCCGTACGACCCCCGCCCCATCTACCCCCCATACCTCCTCTGCCCACATTCCTCGCGGTAACCTGCATAAGCGAATGTCAATCTCAAAAAACACCTCCGTGAGAACTTCAGTGAGGTTTCGGAAGCAGAATTTCTAGGCCAGTGGGTGCGCCCAGCATATGTAGCACACATACGCACCTTCAATAGTGTTTAAAATTTTGCAAGTTTTTTTTTGAATTTTCAGGCATACTTCAGGCCAGCAAATTCGGTTCCCGTATGCGACACAAATTTTTGCACAGAGAAAAAAATTGCATTCTTGAACTGCAAAAGATGTTTTCGACTAAGAAGCTTACTTCCCACCTTTTCCACAGTTTTTTCCGCGAAAAAAACCGCTTGAGCGCCGTCTAGAACGACGTCAAAAACGTGCACGAGCACGCTAGTTTGAAAATTCGTAACTAAGGCTAGGAAAAGACTGAGAGGCTGCATTGAACAGGTTCTGTAGTATGGTGCCCAGATTATCCATAGAAAAAGTTTCAGTCCTTGAGGAGCAGTGAGCTCGAAAAAATCTAGATCAGGCTCTCGCAAATTTAGATGCGATCCTAAAAAGCAAAAACTGGGATTTTTGAGCTTAAAATTTTGTAACTTACCAGAGAAGTTATAAAACAGCCTAAAATTCTTATGATAAAAACTAGAGGGATGGCCTCGTATTACAGCAAGTTTGCAGCTAACAAGCTTCAATAGCTCCGGAGAAATTTAGATCAGGCGCAGATACGACCCCCCCCCCCCTTTTCTCATTTTTTGCTACCATACATAAAATCATAAGAAAATCCACAGTTTATAAAATAACACCAGATTTCGCACAGCAGTAGCAGGCCTTATCTAAAGTACAGATAAATCATATGGGCCCGTGAAAAACATTACAAAAAGATTTAGAAATTCATGATGGTTATAGCTGGTAAAGATATTCGCTTTTGTCGAGTGTGTGAGACTTCAGGAAGGCTTCAGAGGCAAGATTTCTAAGGCAATCTGTTCATTTATCATTTTTATCAAATCATACATCCTTCAAAAGTGTTTTGAGCTCCTGTATGTTTTTTTTAAGAATTACTACAGATTTTTTTATCTTTTTCATTCTGATTTCCACTTTTTTATAGATTTATTGTAAAGAACATAGCTAATTATCTGCTTTTTGATTCTCTTTTGATATTAGGGTATTTCAGCTTAACTACCTTCTCTTACGACCCCCCCCCCCCCACCTTAGGTACCCTCTTTACGACCCCCCGTTGCGACAGTCTCATCACAAGCTTGACCCTGGTGCCAACTTTCTTAACCCGTCATTTCCATCCGCTCAACGCAATTTTTTTTTGTTTATTGATGCGACAGAACTTTCGGTTCAACCTAATGGAAATATACATAACGGTGTATATGATAAAGTGGTAAGTGGATAGTTTTGAATATTTTGGTTCCTGCTTTTTTTTGTATTTACTTTGCAAAATGTAATTTGAGCTTGTAAATGATTTTGAGTTCAAATCTATAACATATGAATATATTTTGTAGCTTGAGAAACTGAAAAGCCACATGATTTTCTGTTACTGCTTGAATAAAAGATTCTAAGATGTAATTGCTGCAGCCTCAGCGGAAGCACATCACAGGCAACAAAACGCAGCTAGTAAGAACTCAAGCTATTTCTGTACTTTCTGCTACTAAATAAGAAAAGAACACTTGTGAAGGCAGAAAATAGACCAGGCAAAACAGAAGATGGCAGAAACAAGAATGCCGGCGAATTGTCTACAAGGGAATGAGACGAGCCAAAGTGTACTCAAATCAAGTTTACATCGAACTGCTGTCTGTTTTCACTATTGATAAAAATATGGTTGTCATTTGTAGCATTGGCTGCGACAATTTGTGTTTCTACAGTATATATCAGCAAAGCTATAAATCGAATTCTAGATTAAACAGTATGGTCCTCGTCGTAAAAATACGGCAAAACCTGGTAATGCAAAATTCAGAGGCATAAAGCCTTAGTTCCAAGTTAAAAAAATTTCATACAAAAATTCACTCTAAATAATGCATAAAAATTTTGATGTCGTCATTTTTCAAGGATTAAAATGTACCTTCTATCCACACACCTTTAAAGGCAGCAGGCAAGTCAGGACACATGGGGCTCCCACGTGGATAGTAATTTTGGGGCCCTAACTAAGCCACTGCCTAACCGGCAGCCCAGGTAATGCTCTAACGGCTTAGATAAATATTCCCTCGAAACTGGGCCCCGCAATCGTATTTTGCATGGAATCATGGCGCGAGGCGTGGATCCTGGCGCGAAATTGCCATGAATCCATGCGAATACAATCGCGAGGTCCAGTTTCGAGGGGGATATCTCGGCCGTTAGAGCACTAGCTGTGCTGCCGCTTGGGCAGTGCCTTAGTTAGGATCCCAAAAGTACTTTCAACATAAAATCCCCATAGGTCCAGATCTGCCTGGACGCTGCCTTTAAGTAACTTTTTTCAAAATTATGACGAGGGAACTTAGGATCAGACTAACCTGTAGCCAACTCCTAGAGGGTCTAAATAAGATTCAGCAGCACGTTAAGTAGTGAATTTATGCTGGGGCGAGCATGACAAACAATTATTTTTGTACAAAGCGACGGAGAATACACTAAAACGAAATAAGAATAGGGCACAAAGGTGCCAGTCAAATCTATTTATATAGAATTCATTCGAAAGTTTGAGCGAAACACTATTCTTCAAGGTCATGGGTGGTTGTTTATGTAGGAATGTATTTCAATGATGCGTTTTTGAAACTTTGTTAGCCTACCTTGACAAGCAGTTTGAAACTTGTAATCAATTTTCTATAACACTTTTCAAGGTACTTTGATGCTTCAAGTATAGGATGCGTGCTTGTGCGGAAAAAGGAAGAGCTAAGGAGAGGAGAAAATTCAACTAACTTAGGGGAACATTCCCACCAGTTTCCTATTCATCTCTGAGATGACTAAAGATCATCTCTCAATTAGATGTTACATAGAAAAACAAATGCTCATTGGCAAGCACAAAATTATCTTTGTCCCAAATGTCTTGTCTTTTCTTCCACAATCTTAAAACCTAATGTAAAATGGCTCAAAAGCATTCAAACATACATTCAACGCTGTTTCAGGTCCTTTTTTGATGTTTATTCCCTATTAAAAATCTCTTAATTGCCTCCAGACATCTGCCGAATTTTTTCCACCATCATTCCCATCTGTTTGACTTCCGCTAAATGTCTGAATTATTCTCGACTTCCGCAAAAGAAAGGAGTGTTCAAAAATCATTATCTGTAAATTTCGATGAAAGATAAGAAGGAACAATAAAAACTTCTTTTATTGCTCGCTAATTACGAAACAACTGAATTACAATATAAAACATGTGGGCTTTTCCCTAACAACTCATACCTTTGCCTACCTTACCCCTTTGTCTACGAATGAACACGAATACTAAAGTATTCGCGCGGAAGAATAAGTTGACCTGTTTTGGCATCCTGCAAAAAAAAAACAACAAACATACTCAACAGCAAAAATGTCACAGATTAGAAAGTATCAAAAGTAATTAATACAGAATTTACCTAGAACGAAATTCTTTGAAGAAAAGGTAGACAGACTATATACGACTGGATCTGTTAAAATGACTGGTATGTTTCTTGAATTTGAACAAAATTTAAAAACTTCTCAAACAGTCAGCCAAATCCATCATTAACGAAAAATAGCCATCGAGAACATAGTTTTCTATGATTGTTTCAAATTTTGAGATTTTTTAGTGTCGTGCCAGAAAGTTGCGGAAGGCTGCTAGTTATCCCAAAAAAATCTGTAATTTTCTCACATTGCCGTAGCTCACATGTTTCTAAAGTAATTCTCATCACATCTTGCAAGGAGATACAAAAACAAAAATTGTTGAAAAATGTTTGATGCAGGAAGAATTTTCTTAATATTGTAGTTTTTCTAGGAAAACTGTTTGACTCATAAAAAAACGACTGTAGGTAAGATACTATAAATACTTCTATCCTGGAAATTGGTTTTTCTCGCAAATTAAATGAAGCCTGCCACAGTAACATATGGAATACTGTTGCGTAAGGAATTCTTACGATTCTCGGGCAATTTTCGGACTGCAAACTCATCGCAGTCGTTTTGGGTGAATGAACAAGAGTCGTGATTTTCATGGCCACATTGGCATTTAAAGCAATGGATCGGCAAAGTGGAGCCTTCTCGGATTTTGGTGGTAATATCTGCTACCTAAGACCACCAAAACCCGAGAGAGGTCCATTTTGCCGATCCCCTGTTTTTAGTAGATCCTTGCATACACTGTTCATCTTTATTATCTTGAAAGGGACAAAACATGGATGCTGGAAGTCAAAAGTTATCCTCGAAAAATTTGACAATTCTAACTTGGGCTGGTGGGTGTTCTTTGATAGCGCTCTCGATTTCTAGCTCCAAACAGTTAAGCCCATTTCTCATAGATGGCGAAACTTTATTTCTTATGAAACAAAGCTATAGGTTTGGGTTTACTATCTGATAAATTATCATCTATTGATTTACGCAAGAACTATCACCCAACCTGATATTTTGTATGAAAGATTTGATACTTCTAGGTTGATTTGATACTTCTTCTTATAAATTCTCATACTATGGCGATCTCAAGAAATCGTATGTGAAATAAACTTCTCCGCAACTTACCTGTTTCCCTTCCAATGGAGTACTGACTAAGGTGAGATGGATGCAAGTTGCGCATATGAATTGGTGAAGGGAACATTTCGCGTTCATCGCACATTGTGCAGTACGAACGAGCTCGTCCCCTCATTTTATCTGGCAATTAAACAATTTTAACGTGAAAAAAGACGATTATGACGATTATGACGCAATCACGGAGCAGATGGATAGCTTGACGAAGTTCAGAGGAATTTTCACATGAAAATGAAATTCTAGAGCGAGTTAAAATAAAATCACGGAAAAAAAGAATATTGTAGATAAATGAAGATAAAAAACGTTGATGTCAACTCGGTACTTCGAAATAAAAGTTCGGCATGCTAGATAAATGGATATCTTTGTCCAGTGATAGCCTTAGGAGATAAAAGGGGAAAAACAAGTGTTTAAAATAGAGAAGTAGTAATAAAAATAGATTCAGGTCTCAGCAAGGATGTCACACCGGTCAGCTGTTTATCATTTCGTGAGTGAATAAAAGCAGAGAGGGAATCACATTCTCGTCTGGACATGAACATACTTGTCAGACTTTTTAAACAGGTCACGAACGGTAAAACAAACTGGTGAAAACTCGTACACCGCGGGAATTCAAAGTTGTACCTAGATAACAGATAGATTGCTTACAACGAACAGCCAGTGATATTGTGCCAAATCTGTTAAGCGCAAAAATGGAGGATAGATACCATATATAAACACTTACGAAAAATTCTGTACCTAAAAAGCATCGCAAACTTTTCAGTTTGGCGCGTGTTCTATGCGTCGACTAAAAATGGAATCAACATTTCTAGAGAAGATGATTTTGCCACTTCTCCGTATAATTTTCCATATTGCACAGATTTTCCACATTGAGCACTGAATAATGCTTCATCCCTTCCGCTTTGTTCTGGCACTCGATATTTCAGACAAAAAAAACCTGTTGTTTCGGCGTTGTCGCTTTTCACTTCACTCATGCTACATGGAGTCTGCAGCTGCTAACACTATGAATACCTCAGATCAAGTGTACTTTTTCGAGGCTTCGTAGATTTTCGAGGTTAAGCAAGACTTTGTTTCCGATTTTCAAGATGCCGAGTTCCAATTATAAAAAAGAGTATGTGGATTGACCACATTTGAAAAGTTTGTATGCAATGCTCACAACTACCATTCAGGCTAATACGGTGGTTCCAATTTTCAAAGTTTCAGAACATTTGTAAATGGATGTGAAATATTAGCTCATCATGTGCGTTACCACATTGCTTACTATAATGATAGCAGCAAAATTTGAGATTGATTTCGTCATATGAGTCTTTAAACTAAACAATATAGAAGAGTGGATAAAACAAAACGATAAAGCTTAAATGCAAACCTCAAATAATCAGAAATTGAAAACAAGTTGATTTTATTGTATTCCAATTATGAACGCTGTATAGACCAGAGATATTCTAGAAGTGATATTCAATGAGTGAAGGTGGCTGAAAGATAATCCTTTCCGGAGTGATCTTACAGACATCCATTACTACCAATCCTAACTGAATGTGTCCTTCTCAAGAGGTAAAAGGCTCAAAGAGCGATCGAAGATAATCAAAGAATGTTCACTGAAGTTGGTGCAGAGTAAATTCTCCTTTGCATGCCATAGCTGACTACAATTTTCCAACCGACTAACACTATATAAATTTCCTTTTATTCAGGACCTCCCAGACGATGATGCGATAAAATACATTATTTGCAAAGAATTGGGCAATCCGCAGTTACGCCACTCCCTGCGTACTTATCCACTAGTATAGCAGAAAGTTTCTTTTTCTGAAGGGATGAAAGGCCAATATACATTTTTCAATAGGTAAGGAACCCCGAAAATTTTCACAAGAAAATCTGAATTCGAGAAAATTTCGAGCTTCTAGTTAATTACGAGTAAATACCAATGTGAATCTCGAACGAGATGAAATATTAGCATCTTCTAAAATCATTTCTCTAAAATTATTATTCATCAAAATGCAGGGTTTACCAAAACACTACAAGGATAAATATTAGGATAGGACAAATATTTATAGTATAAACATATGGACAGATACAAGGATAACTTTCATAATGTATGTCATAATAATATTACACACTATGCACAAATTTCAGTAGCACGAGATAGACTGTACGTCAAGCTTCTTGATACTAAAATACCACTCACAGAATGTGCAAGATTCCCGGAATGTCGCGAATTTCCGAGAATGTAGCGGATTTCCGCGAAATTCGTGGAATTCCGCAACATTCACGGAAATTTTGCACTTCTGTGAGCAATGTTGTATAAAAACATCATAACCAATTTGTTCAATGATTCTTCTTGCAAAACATGTGTATCACATAACCTGAGAATAAGATACTTACCATATCTCTAGAGCATCTATTTCCAAGAGATATTGGTGAGAAGAGAAGGATGGAAAATTTCGAACAACTTTAAAATCAGAAAATAATATGTCATTGCTTAAATTCCACACTAAACAGATGACCGATTCCTTACTTTCATATGCTCATGAAATTCCGGCATGGTAGAAGAAACGATTATCTAGCTATAAAGCTACTATGTACGTTTCGAACAAACAATGAAAAAATCCCGATTTTTCTTTATAGCACGTCGTCATTATTTTATAACGTTCAGGGAGAGTTAGGGAATTAGTTTTCATATAATTCATAGCATAATAATCAATTTCACATTCGTGCCATGAAAAGTAAGGACTGCTTGAGGGAACATTAAGTCGCGCTAAATGTTTTTAATGTATTATTTCGAATAATTCGAAATCGGATGTGAGCGGAAATTGGCTGCAATGGCCAGAGTGCCAATGTTCTTCTGCTTCTCTGTAAATTTGCATAAAGCAATCATATGATATCACCTCAGGAATGTGTGCACTTCTATCCTCGCAATTCGATAAAAAAGATGATGTTTGCACCGAACATTTCTTCTGTCTAGGTTTCATTTACGAAGAGAAGAAAGCGCCATGGCACTATAATATACGAAATGCCACTACAAAGAGGTTGGACAGAGTGTTCTCTTTCAGCAAGTAAGGAAGAGGAAAACTTGTAACAGATCAAAAAAGGAGAACTAAAGATTGGCGCCTGTTGCAGTGCCAGTCTATGAAATCGGGGTCCAAAGTTTTTCGGTGTTCAGAACTGTTTTGCAAAGACTGAGAGCAAAGCGTCTTTCACTGAAACAATTTCTAAGCATACCCGATTCTTTGAATGTCATTATCCAAAACGATTATGCAATAGTATTGAATTGGATCAAAATCTTTCAAAAGAGAAACAGTTGTGTGGGTCTCACACTCATGCATCATATATAGTGCTTAATCAAATCAAATCTAAGGTTTCTTATAAGTCCTACGAGGAGTTTGTCCAACACATAGAACCAAAGCAGAAAGAATTCTACACTTTTGGATTAAAGCACATTCAACTTCCGGTACAGGGCCTTTAGACTCTCTTGCCCTCTACTTTAGTAGCAAAAAATGAGCTAAAATGTTCAAGCATCATAAATCGGATAAGGTGAAGCAATTGACTAATATAGGTAGTCATTTGCATATGCTCTTTGGCAGTCAAGTAGGATATATAATACTGATTCAAAGCTATTAGAAGCACTGCAGGGAGTTCAAAATTTCTGGGTTCGACAATTCGAACAGATTTTTTTCGCAAGACATGCACTGCTATATTTATGCAGTTCGGAGCACTGTCCTCGGTTACTCAATGTTTTTGAGATGCATCTTAATTTCCATCCAAAGGAAGCCCATGAATACTCGAAGGGGAGCTGCACTGACATGGATGAAGATGTAATTTAAGATTTCATGCTGCATCTACTCAAGTACCTCCAATTCTGAATTGCCCTTCCTCTCGTCATTTCCTTTTAGGTGCAGCTATTCGTCTTGTGCAAAAATAGTGGCGTTTTTCTTGACTCAGTTTTGAGTCAGCGCTTCGAAATGTTGCAAACACTGAAATTTTGCGCATTTGTGTAGCCTTCTTTCTTACTTCTTCTGATTTCTATCAAACTCAACAAGTTTATGCGATGAAAGACTATCATTCGACTGCTAAATGTTAAACAGCAAATCCCTTTTAGAATCGTTTAAGCATACTATAGTTTACGGTACATTTATGACTGGATGTGATAGACGCTGGGCTACAGTAACACCGATCACTCCACATGATCAATTTACCAAATTTGTTTGCCAGATATTGTTGCTGAAATACCACTATGAAGACAACAAATATCAATTCATGTGGTTACTTTTCGTTTCCAAAAAAGTAACAAATTTTAGAAATGATACAGAGGTGTCTGCTTGCTAATGTAACTTCCGATAAGTGCTTCGACACAGCTCCCTAGTTTTCTTTGTGATAAAATGGTCACAGCCTTACTCTGATGAAGTGTCTACGTTGAAGGCTTAGCAAAACCTTTATCATATATCTCGTTCTTCCGGAAAAGTTCTTGGATCCGAGTTTTAGGTTCGAAAAATCTGAAATAGCTATCCCGGTCTATTAGTATGGACTCAAAGATAAATGTGACGTTAATGGTGAAGACGAAAGTCTGCGAAGCAATAGGGAATATTTAGAGACCAAAGTTTCGCAGAAAGATGAAAGTGCATAAAAAGTTTAGCGATTGAAGCAAAGTATATGCAAAAAAATTCTTAATTCCTAACGATCTAATAAAAGTGATTTCATGGACGGATGATGATGGGAAACTCAAGCAGCTGTGAGCACTAAAGCGGTTAAGAATAATGAACCGTTTTGTGTAAAGCGATAATTTCTATGACGAAGTGAAGATATTACCCAAGAGAAATCAAAAAATTAATGGACTAATTTGATTTTGCGAGATAAGGGTTAGAACTGGGTAGAAAGGATCTTAGCGAAAGGCTGTTCACATAGGAAACAGATTATAATTTTTCAAATATTTTTGACATTGAACAAACATTCTAAAAATTTACCTTGACTAGATGTTGCTCTTATAAGATGTGAAAATGCTCATACTCAAGCGATAATCACAAAAAAGTCCGTGCAGTCAACATGGATGATAAAATTAACAGAGATTTCGCCAGGAACAATTGCCAAGGACACATATCTTCACAATCTTAACCATGTACTTTTCTCAAGACATTTAACAAT